ACACATAATTTTTTCAAAGAAATTATCACATGTTAACACAGTGACGGGATCCGACCTACCCCATCCAACAGATTTAGTTATGCAATCCGATACTGCACAACTCCCAATCACAACATAATACAAGAGTTTAAAATCCAAAAATGAAAACACAAAAATAAATAAATAAATAAATCCCAGTTTCTTGCCTGTCTATGAATCAGATCACCAGCCAAAGAATATGTGCCGACAGCCGCTACCCTAATCTCGTCAAAATCCAGCAACTAGATGACAGGTTGGGTCGGATCTTCACCTTGCGTTCATCCAGATCAGACCACCGAAGGACGAGAAAAAGATTTTAGTTGGCGATGTCAAGAGAGTGGGCGTCCAAAGCGCAAAGGACCGTCAGCCATCCTGACCAGATGCGTCATCGCTCAGCCCCTCACAAGCGATGCAATTGCAATTTTGCAACCCACATCCTTCGGATGCGTCCGCTTCCGGCATTAATTCTTTTAATTGCTCAGACAGAAGTACGGTAAAAGGACGAAGATAACAGGCCCACATATTAAAAAAGAGAAAAAAAAAATCTTTTCTTTCATTAAAACGCACCGTTAAAACGAAAGGAATGGAAGAAAACTTGTAAAGTCTTAACATCAAAAACATCCAATTTATAGCTAGAATTTTCAACAAACATTGAACATGAAATAATAATAATTAACATAAAAAGGAAATAACAATCACATAAAGAAAGAGCAACTGCCTGTAGCTTATGGTGTCAACTAATTAAACTTATGCACACATTATTTTTGTCAGATCTTCTTGGAGGAAGAAAGAAAGCCAACTGCCTGCAGCTTCAGCTGTGGAAAAGAAAGCAAAATTACAAAAAGTATTACGACTATTCTATCCATTGTTATGATTAGAAGGAACACAAATAAAAAGAGGCTATAGAAACTCACCTAAGAGTGTTGGTTGGATTTTTGGGTTTTTCTCTTCTTATGCCTGCAGATGCTTGTTCCAACAAATTTCTGTTGATATTTCTCCACCTTCTTCACCACCCACCATGGTTTTCCTGTTGTAAACATAATGTATCCTAGACTAAGTCCCAATACTAGTCCACAACCATGGCCCGCCAATGCAAACTTCCACTCAAAGAGTGCTGTAGAGTCATATTCTTCATGAAATTTTGATGGAGATGCTCCTGGTTCTTCCTTCTTGTGGCATTTCTTTGTCAATGGGAATCCACACAATCCAGAGTTCCCAATGTAGGAATCATTGGAGAAAGTGTTGAATTGCTTCCCTTCAGGTATGTGGCCCACAAGTTCATTGTGTGAAAGTTTCAAAACCGAAAGGAATGTCAGATTTGTCAATTGCTCTGGAATCCTGCCTTCAAGCTTGTTTGATGAGAGATCCAGTGATTCAAGTATTGTCATTTTCCCCAAGGATGATGGAATTCCACCAGTGAGACTGTTGTGAGACAAGTTTAGCAATAAAAGTGAATTAAGTTCTCCCAGTTCTTCAGGAATCTGCCCATGGAATCTATTGCTTGAGAAATCAATGGTTGTGAAACTTTTGAAGATTCTTGCGAGTCTCACCTCTAAGCCTTTGAATATTATTGTCACAAAATCATAATAAATATTAGTATCAACAATGTATTCCCACATGGCTGTATCAGCTCCAGTTACATCTCTCATAGCTGTCAAGATTTTGAAATAGTTACTTGGTAGGAGACCTGTGAAATTATTATGCGAGACATCAATGATTCTCAACTGAGAGAAGTAAAATGCAGGCATAGAATTGCTAATGGCACCATGAAATAGATTAAATCGAAGGATGAGAAATCGTAGCCTTGGAAGAACACCTAACCATTGTGGAAAGCTGTCATTCAAGCGGTTGTTCTCCACATCTAGAACTTCCAACTGGCTGCAATTAACCAAAGATGATGGCAGTCTCCCTTCCAACTGGTTGCCATTTAGCTTGAGAGTTCTGAAGAAACTGTTGTTTACAAATGAATTTGGGATTCTACCATGAAACTTATTCATCCCCAGATCCAAGATGGAGAGATCACTCAAGTTTCCAAGGCATTCTGGAATTTTCCCTCCTAATCTATTATTAGCTAAGTCTAGAACTCTAAGAGAAGTCAAATTGCAATAAGAAGAAGGGATTTCACCAGTCAAATTATTCCCTGAAACGAGGAGTACACGCATAAAATCCCAAGTTGTTGATAGAATGGGAAGTGATCCTTGCAGTAAGTTGGATCTCAGGTCAACAATTTCAAGATATCCAAAACAAAATAAATCTATACCAGTCAAAAAGTTATAAGAAAGGTCTAAACTACTCAATGACATCCCTTCTACTTCCCATTTGTGAATTTGACCAGAAATCTTGTTCTTGGAAATATCCAATTCTTGCAAATTCTCTGCCTTCCTTAGGAAACTTGGGAACTTGTGAATGTTGCAAGAGGAGAATCTTAAAGACTGAAGGTTTGGAAAGGAATAGTTGACAGCAGTGCCATTATTGCTTAAAGACAGCAAACTATTATTGGAAAGATCAAGATCCTCAAGGTCTACAAGCTTCAAAAGCATGCTGGGTGTAATAGTGCCACTTAAATTATTGGAAGAAAGGTCGATTATACTAAGATTCACAAGATGAAAGAAAAAGCTAGGGATTGAACCACTTATCTCATTATAGGACAAATAGACTTCTTGTAAAATAAGATTAGGCATCTCAACATGATCAATAGGTCCGGTAAGTCTGTTGTTTCGGAGGTCTAAATGGGACAAAGAAGGCAGAGAAAACAACCAAGATGGTACCCGACCTAATAGCTTATTTGATGACAGTGACAAAAAAGTAAGATGGGTGAGGTTGGAGATTGATGAAGGAATTTCACCACCAAAACTGTTATTAGAAAAATTCAAATGAGTTAGCTTGTGCATTTTTCCAATAACATCTGGAATCTGTCCTTGCAAAAGGTTAGAAGAAAAATCTAGGGTAGTTATCTCTGTAATATTTGCAAGAGATTTAGGAATTGATCCATAAAATTGGCAATTAGAAAGGTCCAATTCCTCCAGGAGTTTAAAATTTCTGATTGAATGAGACAACTCTCCTGAGAAGCTTGTGTTTTTGATATACAAATACTTGAGGGTACTACTCCAGTTTGACTCAAGCAAATTACCTCTTAAGTAATGGTTGTGAGTTAGATCAATAAGCCGGAGAGATGGAAGCTGAAAAACTTGGTTTGGAAAGTTTCCTTGCAAATTGCAATCGCTAAGGCTCAAATATTTCAAGGAGGAAGTCAAGTTTAGCAAGGAAGAAGGCACAACCAGAGACATATTCACAGAATCAAGGATAAGAAACCTTAATTCTGTTAAGTTATGCACAAGCATTTGAAACTTTATGTTGTCAAGAAGCAAACCATAATTATCGGAGAGATCAAGCGAAACCAATTTCGTTAGCAAGAAGATCTCATCAAACAGCAGAGAGCCATCCATGTATCCTGTATCTGCAAGGTTAAAGATTTGTCACATTAGAAGAAGTGAAACCAGCTTTGGAAGCATGGAGATTTTAAACAAAAGAAAAAGAAATGAAATCTCGTACTTGAAAGATTAAGATAGGTCAAACTCTTCCAACGGTCGAACCCAAATGAGATGTTAGGATAATGAAAATAATTGTCAGAAAGGTTGAGACTCTGCAATTTCTCCAGGCGGAAGAGACTACTATTTGTAGTTAGATTGGCTTCAAGACAATTACTGCTAAGATCAAGGCCCATCACATGACCTTTCATCCTGTCGCATGTGATGCCCTCCCACAAGCAGCAGTCTTTACTCTCGTTCCAAGTTTGTATTATAGGACGAGGAGTAACAAAACAGTGTTCCACCACATTAGTAGTGCTTTTGAAATCAAGCAATGCAGAATGCTCTTCAGGATGGCACAAATGCGGCGGTGAATTAAGAGAAGATTGAGAAGGTGAGGAGCTTTGGACTCGAAACTGTAACATGAAGGAAAGGCAGAGGATTTGGGAAAACCATATTAACCTTCCCATTTTCTTAAAGATGAACACAATTCAGCAAACAAAGGAGTAATGGATTATTCAAAATTGAAGGGCTGGACACCGGTATTTATAGTCTTCCGTAAAAGACCTTGAGCTTTCCACCTGTGTGTAAATTTCCATGCTAGCACACTAAAAGTCAATAAACCATTTTCTTTCTTTATAAAAAAAATAGTTTTCACACGGTCGAATTTTTTATAGTATAATTAAACTTTTTTTTCTTCGGTAGTACACATAATGAAGAACAAGGCCAATAAAGAGTTTAGATGATCTAACACGTGTTTTTTTTTTTTTTTGGAACATGAAGGAATTTGTAAGATGGAGAATATTTTTTAAGTCATTGAACCTTTAATTAATTAAATTTAAGTTTTAAGTTTTTAGAGATGAATCATTATATCTAAAACTTTGATTTGATCTAACACGTCCCTGAAAGTTTAGTCAAAGTAACTTTATATATATATTTAAAAACAGATGCTTTATCCAACTTTTGGTGGCTTAAGGGTTATCTCTTGAATGTATATGATAAATATAATAATTTAGGTTCAAATATCACGTCCTACTCTCCTTTCCTTACAAATTTCCCTGTTAAAAAAAAAATAACGGGGATGCCTTTATTTGTTCTTAAAAAAAAAAAAGAATCGAACGACGGAAACGGTGGAGGGCACAAAAAAACAAGGAGAATATACCTCAATTATTTTGTAAAACAGGAGAATTTCAATATATTGACAAAGGTAAGATTAAGAATATTGTTCAGTTAAAGTGTGATACATATATGAAAACGTAGTTATTTTATTTTTAAATAATTTAATAGGCACATTTATTTATCGTATTTTAAAATTTTGATTAAAATAAAAATAGAATTTATTTCATTTTTAAAAAAAATTCTTATATTTGAAATCTTATTTCTTATTATATTATAAAATTAGTTAAAGTCTTTAATAAATTTTGAACAAATATATCTAATAAACCTTTTAAAATTTTCAAAAAAAAAAAACTTTAAAAAACCTTCAATAAAACATCAAATCGTCAATAAATAATGAATAAATACTAAATGAACTTTTTAATATATTCAATAAATACTAAATAAATATAGATTTTTAAAATTCAAATTCAATCATATTTTCAATAATAATATTTTTTTAATGTAATTATACTTTAATCTAATTTCAGTTATTTCAATTATTTTAACATGAACTCAATTATAAATACCCAATATACATTTTAAAATCTTTGATAAATACAAAATAAATACCAAATAAAATTTTAAAAATCTTAAAATAAATACCAAAACATAAATCATCTCACATTTCAATTCAAATAGTATACTAATCTTTGGAGTTGAAGAACCATGCACAGAGCATAAAAAATCAAATATTTTAAACGTAAATATGGGCTTTTTGAATCCATTATATTATTGTTTTTATTAAATATAATTAATTAATATAACAAAAACAAGCGTACAGCGCTCAACTTTCTTTTGCATTACCATGGATCGTTATCATCAATCATTAATTCGGATAAAAAATATTCATTTTTATATTTTAATAATAATCTTTTTTAATACTACAATGTTACTTCAATTTCACTTCAACTATTTTA